AACAAACAAACAAACCACCAATCAGCTCACCATTCCCACTTTTCTTGATGTTATCACAGGCAGCTAGAAAGCTCAGTACAAGTTTATTAGATAACCCCTCTCCCCTCCAGGTGACTTGAAGAAATAGTCTTCCTAATTGCTCCTGAGTCCTCTTTTTTCCAAAAATTTATTCACTGTGCCTTTTAAAATAATTTATTGACATATACATATAAAACAGTTCATAACTCATAGAGGTATGGCTTAAAGAATTTTCACTAACTGACATACCCACATAACCCACACAAGGATTCAGGAACAAAACATTACTAGAAGCCCACTCACAATCTCTCCAACATTAACTATCACTGGGAAATGATTGTCCTGAGATTTCATACTCCAGGCTCATTTTTCTAATTCAAGTTTATTGAGATATAATTTACATACTCATACTTCTTGGCAGAAACACCTAGTCATGGGACACCACAATCAAAATATAATAAAATATTATAATTGCCCCCCCCCAAATTCCCTTGTGCCCCTCGGTAGTCAGGTCCCCCCACCAGCCCCTTGCAGTCAATCAGGAATGTTTGCTGATAGTAGTGTGGGTTTCAGAATGTTATATACATGGAATTATGTAATGTGTCATAAAATATGGTATGTAGACATCTGAAATGCTGTCCCTTAGCATAACGTGTTTGGGACTCACCCACTACACTGACCAGGTCCACGGTCCACTTCTTTCCCCTGCTGAGTACTATTCCACTGTCTGGATGGACCACCTGTGTTTATCCATTCATCTGCTGATGGACACTTGGATTATTTCCAAATACAGCTGCTATACACATTTGCATGGAGGTCTTTGCATGGACATGTTTTCACTTCTCTTGGGGTAGGATTGGTGATTTATAAGGTAAGGGGTGTTTAACTTCATAAAGAACGGCCAAAGCATTTTCCCGAGTGACTGACTTGTTTTGTATTTCCAGCAGTGCCGTGTGAGGTGCAGCGACCTGGGTTGTTCCTCCTGCTAGAAATGAAGCCACAGTGGGTCTTTACAAGGGCCCTGGGCGTGCTTGGTATGTGGCCCCTCTCCTAGTGACTTAGGCTTTTGCTCCTTTGCAACAAGGATCTGCAAGAGGAGGGAGGGGTTGGCCCTTTCCCCACAGCAGCTGCCAATCCCCTCCCACCCCTTCTCCATGGCTGGATCTTCCTCCCATCTTCCACCCTGCACCTGCCAGAGTTCCTCTACGCAAACTGTCCTGGTGTCTGCAGCCCCAGCTCTTCAGGCGGGCATGCCAGCACACACCTGGCTCCCAACTATTTGATAAGACTTGAGCTGATTTCCGGGGCCCCTGGGTGGCTCAGTCAGTTAGGTGTCTGCCTTCAGCTCAGGTCATGATCTCGGGGTCTTGGGATCAAGCCAGGGTCAGAATGTCTGCTTAGTGGGGAGTCTGCTTTGCCCTCCCCCTCTGTTCCTCCCTCATCCCTGCTCTTGTGCTCTCTTTCTCTCTCAAAAAATAAATAAATAAAATCTTCTTTAAACAAAAAAAAAAGATTTCACTGATTTCTTCCTCTCCCTGTATATGGAGGCTGTGTGTGTCCCCCTCCCTCCCCAAGGGCCATCACAGATGAGTCTGTCTGTGCTCCTCCCTTGGAATTCAGGCTCCTTGGCTGCCCTGTGAGCTCAGTTTCCTGGTGAACAGAAGAAAAGTGCTGATTTTGTAGTATATCCAGGCTTCCCCATGTTAGTGTGGGAGCAACACTCTGCAGCTTTCTACATCTGGGGTGGAAGCAAACCTTCTCGTCTTTGCAGCCTTCCTTCTACCTTCTTCCCACCACCGCTCCCAGGCAGCTTGTTTTCAGCAGTTCACTTCCAGGCGCCGAGTTTTGTTCGGGAATCTATGCGTCCTGTTCTCCGTTGCTGTGTGACAAGCCACCCCCCAAATCTGGTGGCTTACTAGTTCTCATGGTTCCATGGGTTGACTGGTCTCCGCTGAGGTCTCACATGGGACTGCTGGGGCTGAAGTCATCTGACAGTCTGGACAGCCGTGGAGCCCCCGTCCCACGCTGGAGGATGATTAGCGGAAGCCACAGGCAAGAAGATGGACAGTCAAGGTCCACTGGAGAACACTAAGAGCACTACATATAAAAGGGGACCTTTCACATTTAAGTCTTATGTTTATCTAACCATAAAGTTAACAGGAGAAAAGGAAGATTATTATTGTGGCAGGAAAATCATCAGATAAATCCTGAAAAGCACAATGTTGTAAGGCCAAGAAAAAAAAGAGAGAAGTCCCATACGCCAACATATAAAATTTCTACCAGCAAAGGACACTATGGAAGAAGTTAATATACCGATGGGAGGAGATATTTGCAATACTGAAAATGGACAAGTAATTAATGTCTAGATATAAACTCCTGAAAATCAACTTAAAAAAACAGAACACTGTATACTTAAAAAAAAAAATGGAAAGACTATTAAAAGGCAATTTATAAGCAATAAGCCCCAGGGGCTAACAAGCAGATGAAGAGGTGCTCAGAACCATTAGTCATCAGAAAAACAAAGTAAAAACAGTGCACTATCATTTTATACCTATTAACGTGTTAAAAATTAAAAAGCAAGATAATGCCAAGGATGAGTATCATGTGCGAGCAATACAGGGGAATAGAAACCCTCCCCTACACGATGCACATGACGTGAGGACCAGAGCAGCCCCTGCCCACAGCGTCTGAAACTATTTTGAGATACACACCCATGAGGGAATTGCAGGATTTATAGGGGATATATATATATGTGTGTGTGTGTGTGTGTGTGTGTGTGTTTATATTTACATATTCATATATATTTGTATATTTATATTTAAGCTGCATAAAAAACCGTCCACAGGCTGGAGAGCTACTGAGTTGAAAGAGATGTTCACTGGAGCAGCATCTTTGTTGCTCTCTTCTGCGTGTGGTGCACACTCACAGGCTGGGGGTGGTGGCGGAGGCAGGTTGTCGGAAGCGAGCTGAGCATCCACCACTGGAAGAATGAGAACTTATGCTGGTTGCTCCCCACGGAGCAGCAGTTAGAAGCTACGCACGAAGTGTATATACAAAAATGGCAAAAATAGGTGAAAGAAACAATGAGACACAGCACACGGATCTATTTACAAAAAATAAAGGGCACAGAGATGAAACAACAGCACCTGTTGCAAAAAACAGATACAAACAACACTACATATCAACACGTTAGATTTTGCAGAATAACGCACTGGGAGGAGAGGAGTAAAAGTGGACGATAGGGATGAAGGTTAATGGGAAGGAAAAACGTTTTTGACTGTTAGAGGACTTGTATTACCTGACTCCAAGACTTACATGGCTCCAGGAATCAAGATGTACAGCATTAGCATCAAGAGGGACAAACAGGTCAATGAGCAGGCTAGAGTCCACACATATATGTCCAATTATAAGGAAACTACACATATACCTTAAACTGAATTTTCACAAAGGTGTAAAAGCATTTCAGTGGAGAGAGGAAGAACTGGATATTCATATGAAAAAAGTGAATTTGGATCCATAATGCAATGCATAGGAAAAATTAACTCAAAATGGGTCATAGACCTAATTGGAAAACCAATAACTATAAAACACAGGGAAAAAAGTCACAAAAAGGAAACATAACAGAAAAATCTTCATGACAGTAGGGTAGGGAAAGATTGTTTTAGTTGCAACACCAAAACACTAATCCATAAAAGTAACATCAGATAAATTGGATTTCATCAAAATTAAGGGTGTCTGCTCTTTGGAAGACAGTGAGAAACACAAAGAAATAACTGGCAAACCATGTCTCTGGTAAAGTGCCCATATCCAGAATAAAGAACTCAAAAGCCAGTAAGAACCCAACTCAAAAGCGGGGGTGGGGGGGGCAGGACATTCGAAGGCAATTATCAGATTTACCAGTGAAAATAAACACCTGAAAAAGTGTTCAATATCATTAGCCATTAAGGAAACTGAAAGGAAAACCACAATGAGATACCGCTACACACCAGTGAGAATGACTGAAATGAAAAAGATTGACCGTAGCAAATATTGGTGCATCTTTGAGGATGTAGGGAAACTGGAACTCTCATACATTGCTGGTGGGCACCTAAAATAGTACAACCACTTTGGGAAGCGTCTGGCAGTTTCCTAACAAGTTATAAACACACATGTGCCGCATGAGGTAGCCATTCCACTCCTAGACCTTTACCCAAGAGAAATGAAAGCAGATATCTAAGTTGACTTGATGGGAAAGCACACAGCATCTTTATTTGTAATAGTGAAAAACTGCAAATAATCTAAATGCCTATCAACAAGTGAACAGATCAACAAATTGTGGTATAGCCATACACTGTAACACTATAAAATAAATTTTACTTAGCCATAGAAAGGAAGACACTATTGATACACGCAGCCACAGGGGCAAACCGCAAAGTGACAATGCCGAGTCCTAAAAAGCCAGACACAAGAGCGTACACTGCATGCTCTGCATTTACATAAAATTCTAGGAAATACAACCTAACATATTGTGCCCGGAAGCGGATGAGTGGTTGTCAGAGAAAGAAGGACACTTGTAGGGACGCCGGCTATGATATGTTTATGAGCGTGACTGTAGTGATGCTCGCAGGAGAGCTAACAGACGTCAAAAGGCATCATACAGTACATTTTAGTTCTGTGCGGTTTCTTCTAGGCCAATACCTCCATCTGTTGCCTTTAAAAAAGAAAAGCGTAATCTCGCGTCCAGGGTTACACGGCGGGTAAGCGGCAGAGGGCGATTCAAACGCAGAAGGCTGCACCTGGAGCCTGTCCTTCTCAGCCCCTGAGCTCCGGGTAACAGCAGCCCGGAAGAAGGTGCTGGAAGGGGGCAGAGGCCGAATGCGCGGGTCGCGGCCGAGTTAACGATTACCGGTGGGCGGGTCCTCTCGGCCCCTCCCCGCCCGCGTCCCCAAACGCCCGGCGCAGTCCTCCCGAGCCGCCGCCACCTGCTGCTCGCTCGCGTCCGCACCTGCGCCGGGTCAGCACCTGCGCCGCGCCCGCACCTGCGCCGCGCCCGCCATGGTGAGGGGGTCGCTCGTCGCCGCCCGCAGGGCCCCGGCGCGCGGGAGGGCGGAGGAGAGGAAGGGGCCGATCCCGGCGGCGGCGAGGGTGGGGGACGGTCCTTGCGAGCCCCCCCCGCTCGCCGGGCTCTTGCTAGGCTTGGAGAGCCAGGGCTAGGCTTGGAGAGCCGGGGTCTCCGCCCAGCTGCCACCCGCACCCCCTGGGGCGCGCAAGGGAGCTGAAGCCGGAGAGGGGCGGTGGTGCGGCCGAGGCCTGGCCCTGCCCCCAGGCCCTTGTCCCCGGGGCGCCTCGCAAGCGGGTCGTGGGCGGTGGGCCCAGGGCACGGGTAGGGGAGGCAGCTGGTGAGCCTGTAGATATCGCCTCCTCTCAGTGGCGGGTTCTAGTCCACATTGGGGTTGGGGGGCGTCCGTGTGTCAGAGCGTGAGTAGGAGGGAGGCTAGGAGTCTGTTTACCACCCTTCTGGCTTGCACTTCCGGCAGGGTCTGGCCAGGCCCTCGCGCACCCGGCGCTGCCCGGCCTCGTAGCCAGGCCCTGGTGCCTCGCTTGAGGCCTGCGCCCAGCAGTGGGGACCGATTGCTCAGGATCAGGCCTCCTCCAGGCTGGGTGTTCCCCCAGGAGGGCCTGGGCCCTGTGGTCAGCCCTGCTTCATCACCTCCACCCTCTGGCAGTGAAGGGGAGCCCTGGCTGGGGAGAAGTGTGTAGACCCAGGAGCTTTACTAAACAGCCCCTTTCTGATCCCAAAGCCTGAGGACCAGTAGAGACTGCGGTGACAGCTGAGAAGGCACTTGGAAAGCAGTGGCTTGGAGGGAGAGGAGGGGGTAGTGAGGCGGCTTGTGTGGTGCTCTGAGGCCCCAGACGTGGGGGGGCAGGGCTAGTAATCAGTAACAGGAGCGTATACTCCCCCAGAAGGCTCGGCCAGGCCTGGCCTGTGATTTACTAAGCAAACAGTGCCCCTGCCCCCGTCTGACCCCAGCTCTCAGGGGGGCTTGTTCTTTCAGCCCCAGGCTGTGAAACTTGGGGGATCCCAGAAGACACTAAGGGGCACGGGGTGCCTCCTAGGAGCTCCCTGTATCCCCCTACTTCTTTCTGGGCCAGAGAGCGAAGCAGTGGGTTCTGATCCCTGGGCTGACATCATTCCTCCAGTTGCCTGGATACATGACCAGGCTTATCAGCCCCAGAGAAAGGGCCAGCTCTGGAATGGAGCAGGGTTTGGGGGTGGGATGCAGGCTCTCAGAGCTGAGGAACCAGACCAAGCCAGATCAGTCCAGAGAAAACAAGTGTTTTCAGAAGGGAGGGAAAGATTGACTTAGAGGAGACTGTACTGCTTTTCTAGTGCGACCCCCACACAGGACCCCACACATGCAGGACCTAACAAGCCCTTTACAAATGCAGATGGCAGGCCCTTAATAAGGATGGACTTACTCATAGGTCCCATAGGCTCCTCTCGCTGATCTGAAATGGAAGTTCTGGGCCCCTTTTACCTTTCAAGCCAAGGGAGGGGACCATCCTGCTGGACAACACTAGAACTGGGGCTTGACCCAGTCCTGCCAATGCCCCCATGGCTGCCAGGCTGTGCGCTGCCTCATGAAGCTGAATTAGCCTCCCTCACATTCTCTCCCCAGACCTTACTGGTTCATTTTTCCTTCAACACTCTTATAGTTCTGTTGGAGAAATCACAGTTCTGGGATCCCTTCCGTGCCTAGGCCTGGATCCAACCCCCCAGAGAATGGAACCAGCCTTTGCTTCCATCTCTGAAGGTTCCACTCAACCCCTGAACTGTGCCAGCTCTGGCTGCCTGGAGGGCACTTTGCACAATAGGCAAACAGGCCGAGGGGCTAGGTTTGCCAGTCGCCCTTGGCCAAGTTACTTCCACTTTGGCCTGAGCTCTGTGGCTCAGCTCAGGCTTCCCAGGCTGATGGAGTAGACAAGAAGGTGGGAATCTGAAACCCCCAGGCCTAGCAGCTGGTACTCAGGGGCTGCGTGGTGGCATGATGAATACCCAGTGGGAGGTAGTACCAGTGGGGATCAGTTCTGGTAGGATCGCCTGGAAGGTGTTGTAAGCACTTGCTCCTTTTCCCTGGGCCCAGGATGCATATTCAGACCCCTTTGAGAACAATGTCTGTGCTCTGAGGACAGAGGGGGACATGAGGGGGACATGAAGGGAGAACCATGGTCATGTTCCCTTTCTAGGCCTCAGTTTCTTTGTGTGGGTGTGGGGGTGAACTGGATACAGTCCGTAACAGAAAAAGGAAGGTTCAACAGTCATGGGTAGTCTTTTTCTGAAAAGTTGTGTAGTAACACATTCGCATCTGGGTTTGATCTTGCTTTTACTCCCTCATTAACATAAGAGACCTATGGTGGTGGGGGGGCTCTGTCAGGCTTTGGGGACAAGGGTGGGGGCAGAGTGTTGCTCAGTCCCAGTGACTTGTGTCATGGCTCAGTATTTTCTGTTCTCTGAGCAAAGTGTCAGAATCTAAGAACCTATCAGTGCGTGAGCCAGGGCCCCACCCCCAGGGCCGGGTGTCCCCCTGAACGGCTCCCTGTCCGTTGCTTTAGACCACACCACCAGAGCCCCTGTGGAGGCCGGCCAACGTCCCCTCATGACTGGGGCCCTCTCCTGGGTCCTGGAGGGAGAAATGCCCGTGGGCCTCTGCTGATTTCCTGTCTTAGGCCGGCAAAGCACACAGGCTGAGTGCTGAGGAGCGGGACCAGCTACTGCCAAACCTGAGGGCTGTGGGGTGGAATGAGCTGGAAGGCCGAGACGCCATCTTCAAGCAGTTCCATTTCAAAGACTTCAATCGGGTATGTCGCCGGGTGGGACAGAGTTTCTGACACTCCAGAACTTATTCTCTCCCTTGAAGGCCTTGCCACCGAAGCCCCTCGGCCACTACCCTTGTCGGGCTGGAGTGTCCTCCTTGGGGACAGGAGTGGGGGGGATGGGTCTTGGGGTCCCCACACCTGAACTCTTCGAGCAGCCCTCTCTCTCAGAGCGCTCACCTGGGTCTCACTTCACTTCGCAGGCTTTTGGCTTCATGACGAGAGTGGCCTTGCAGGCCGAGAAACTGGACCACCACCCCGAATGGTTTAACGTGTACAACAAGGTGAGTGAGGCGTGCCTGCTGCGCCGGGCCGGCCGAGCTCTGAAGGCCCTTCCCTGGCCTTCCCTAGGGGCCTCCCCACCTAGAATCAGCACCATTACCCCTGCGGCAGTCAGGCTCGCTACAAACTAGAAAAGTGCAAATTAAAACACTCATGAGCAAACATGCGGTCAAGGCGGTCAGTCGGCATTAGAAAAGCCGAACCACAGAAGGCCAGGCCACGGGCACTGGCCGTATTCATGGCTCATAGCTCTGTGGCCCAAATCCTCCTGGAGGTGTGGTGTGGAGGGATGAAAAAGTAGTCACCGGAGCTGAGAACACACGTGCACAGCAGACAGGTCGGACCGCAGGCCGTCGGAGGGTGGTCATGCGACCCCTGCCACGGGCCACGGCGGGAGGGTTGGCAGTGTTGCTGGAGACAGTCAGGAAGGCTGTCCCCGGGCGAGAGCATGGTGACCAGCTACCACCCCGGAGCGCTCCATGTCGCCGAGCCGCACGGCCCTGACCCTCTCCCGCTCTGGGCCCGAACCTCTGGTTTTGTTCCAGGTCCACATCACCTTGAGCACCCATGAGTGTGCCGGCCTTTCGGAACGGGACATAAACCTGGCCAGCTTCATCGAACAAGTAGCAGTGTCCATGACCTAGGCCCTGCCCTTCCTCTGCAAATTCTTCAGGGGAAGGGGGTGACTGAATCAGGAATCTGGTGTGGGGGGGAATCCGGGGAGCCAAGATGTTGCTGCAACTAGAAGGGCCAAGTGGACTCTGCTGCCACCAGCTAGGGGAGAGTCCTTGCTGTGGACAGAGATGCCGGCATCAACGCCGACCTTTCCCCAAACCCCACTTCATCCTTGGCACCCTGTTACTTGTACACTAATTGAGTCCAATCTTCTCTCTCTGGAAGACTTCCCGCCAATAGTATTGGTCTTTTTGCCAGGCTGTGTCCTGCTCCCTTTCTCATTCATTTCCCAGGAAGCTATGACAAAGAGGTACCAAGTCTTCATCTCAGAAACCAGGACCCTAAAGTCAACCTTATCGTATGTAACACAAACACCTGTGCTTTTACGTCTTAAATAAAACTAGTGTTTCACTATGTCTCAGGCTTTAGAAACTTCCTTTCCACAGGTCAATCCAAATTGGAGTCAACAGGCATTTAAATAAGCACTCTGTGGGAAGCCCTGTTCAAGGCTCCAGGGTCAGGGGACCAGACCATTCTGTCTTCATGTAGCGGAATTAAGTAGGAAGCAGTTCACTACCACAAGGCAGGATGGATGAAGTCAACGCTAGAGGCAAGGGTAAAGCAATGAGTTAAGGGAACATGAAGTGATTGACAAGGGTGAGTCTGAAGGCTTCACTGACTTGTGCCTTGAAAACCTGAAAGGGATTCTTGAGGCAGGGGTGGTCAAAGGGGTACCATGACTAACACGTAAAGGTATGCAGGACACCTGTACTTGCGCGTGGTGGCGTCTGGGACGAGGAAGGCCGTCTGCAGCTGTTGTCACATCCCAGCCTACAGTGGCGTCCCAGGTTGGGGAGACTGCTAATCCTGGTAGGGTCTTGCAGTTTCTTAGAGACTTAGCCCGTCTCGAGGCTTGTGCACTTTTACTGCGTGAGGGAGAGGGCAGAAATTCTAGCTTAGGAGGTGCTGGGCTACTTTCCATCCAAGCAGTTAGGGACCGGATTCCTACATATAAGTCCTCCAACCTAGTGACTCTAGGATACTGTTCCCACTAATGCGCTGTGACTGGGAGAGGAGGTGAGGCACAGAGCTCGGTCTCCTCTCCCCCCAGTGCACATGATGTGCATAGCAGTCCACGTGTGCCATGACGCAGGACTGCGGGAGGCCCTTCTCCTGACGGGTTCTCATCTGCGATCCCCGAGCTGGATGCAGGCAGCTTCTGCATTCTAAGCTGACTTGCAAACGCCAGGGTTCCCTGGAGAAGACATTTAGCAATATCACAACCCAGGATGAGTGGGTCCCATAACCGGGGCCAGAAAAGAGGCAGAGGTCGGTGTCTGACAAAGAAGCATGTTGTTGTGAGAGGTACCGGCAGGATCTGAGGATTGACAACACCTACGTCAACAGTAGGTTCTCAGAAAACTTATTCTGATGGTGGCCCCCATCTACTCCACTTCTAACTTCCCTTTTCCTAAGTGTGCTTCGATCTGATGACTGTGGCTTAGGGAACAGAAGCCACCAGACACAGAGGTATGGAGCAGGTGTTATGTCACCTTCCTGCCTCTGCTCACCGAGGGATCAGGAGCTGAAAGATGCCAACCTAGAAGACACTACAGTTCTGTGACAGACTTTGCTACGGGACAAAGACATAAACGATACTTTTTCAAAAACAAATGTTTATTCTACAATTCGTGCAAATAACTGAAGTTACAGGGGAAGATGTTAAGGAGAGATGGTGAAAAAAAAAAAAAAGCCCAAGAAAAAGAATACCATTTAAGACTCCCAACTTGAGAAAAGGCTCGGACCCAGGCTGTAGCTGGCAGCTGTCAAGTCAGGCCTCTGAGGAGACATAATGGTGTCTCCACTGCTGGGTCTGGCTACGGGTGGCTCACTGCTACCAAGAACCCTCAGAGAAGGCAGAGGGGTTCACGGTGCTAAGTAGCAGGTATAAGCATCCAAACACCAATTCTTGGATTGGTGGGGTGGGGGGAGGGCAGGCCTCATCCTCTAGGATTAACCCCAAAGCAAGCAGGTGCTCAAGAAACCAAGTCATTTAGCAGAAAACTAGCAAAGACAGGCATTCCTTGGCTTGACTCTGACAAAGTCCAAATGGGCTGAAGCTCTGGTTACCGAGTGACAGGCTCCAGGACCTGTGGAAGGAATTCTCACTTCTTACTTGTAATGGAACAAGACGCCCAGCGGTTACATGTGCAGAGATATTCTGAGGGGTTCCATCGGCTCCCAAACCAAATGCAGGGCTTGAAGCCAGTGCCCAGCTGGCTGGAGCCCACCCCGGGGGCTCCATCCATCATTAAGGTATAGGCAGAAGATGGTGGTGAAGAGGACAGAAAACACAAGGCCGACCCGGGCCCTGGGGAACTAAAGGCCGGAGTTCCAGACCTTCCCGGTGAAGCCACCACCCTGAATCTGTGTGGCCACACACAACCATTTCACCACAAGGGGGCGAGCTCCCACCAGCAGCCAGGTCTCCGGCAGCCACCACCCCACCAGGGATCTCCCGCCTGCCCCTCCAGAAGCGAATGAATGCAACCACATCGGTGACGATTTCGGTCATTTAATTACTGAATTGCTCTTTAAGATATTATTGCTGCAATCAGGAAGGGAGCACTGAGCTGGGAAGAAGGAGGTTAAATACAGAAAAGATTTAAAAGAGGCCAAGTACCATTTTGCAAGTATAAAACCAGTAATATTAAAAGTGACATGGCAGTATATAGTCTGGCGGCTGCTCCCTCCGTATAGAACCCAGACACTACCGTTTCTGCAGAGGCCAATGAGACATCTGCTAGCAACACGACATCTGAAGACATTCTGCCTGCCTCTGCCAAGCTAGGTGCTCTAGGGTGCAGGTATGCATAGAATGGAAAGCCCGCAAGTGTCAAACTAAGGCTCATGATATAAAGTGGCTACTGTAGATCCCTTTGAAAAAACACCACTGCCTCCAGGGCAGCAGTGCCGTCAGAGCAGAGGAAGGGCCCGCAGACACCGGAAGCAATAGCACGCCCATTGCTCTATCGGGCACAGGCTTCTCCATTTTCGCTGCCGACAAACCAGAGTGGTGCCGGGGTGGTTCTGGGTCCTGGGTCCTCCTCCAACACCATGAACGCACCAGAGACCCAGGAGCACTGGTGCACAGCTCTGGCCACAGCAACTCTCGGGAGGTGCCCCCCACTTCAGCGACAGAAAGGAACTCGGCTACCGTGTCCAAAAGATCTTAGCATCTCCCTCTAATGAGCATGCGCAGACACACACACACACACACACACACACACACACACGCCCCACCCACCCCCACTCCTGGAACCCACAAGGCACAGGAGGAACACACACTCCAGCCCGGCAATGACACGGCCAGCTAGTCACAGTTATTGTGGCGGAAGCACAATGCCAAAGGCCACTTCAGACACGTGCTATGGAGCCCCAGGAAGGCCTAGTCGTCCTGGCTCTCCCGGCCAGCATTTCCAGTGAGGGCGGCCGGAGGACAGCAGCCTGCAGAGGCTGAATGGTTCAGGGGTCCCTGAGAAGGGGAATGAACAGAGGACATTTTCTCCTGACTTTATCCTAAAGTCCTCCCCCACCCAAATAAAAGCTCGAAGACTGACCCATTTCCCCTACGGCCTGGGTCAGGAGTAGCCCTTCGCCGCTCAGTGCTGAGGAAAAAGGCACACGGTAGGTCGTCTTCAGAGGAAGACTGTGGCTCCACCTAGGTCAGGGCCCTGTGTAGGGGTGAAGAGGGCAGGGAGTGGGTGCAGGGTTTGGTTCTGTCCCTGCACCACCCTGAGCAACTAGTCTTAGGAAGGAATCCCAGGCCCCAGGCCCCAACTGACAGTTGCCATCATGCTTCCCTAGTCCAGAGTTAGCCAGGGCTGAGAAGTGTCCAGTACCTGAGGCTAAACTGCCATAGTACCTGGGGAGCCAAAGAGACAGAAAAAGGGAGGAGGGATACATGAATGGGGAAAAGTTTCCTTGCCTTGGAGGCTCTCTCATGCCCCCTTGCACCCATCTAGGGTAGGTCAAGGCAACCTGTGAAGGTGCTCTGAGCTGTTCCTTCAAGCAAACATACTCGCAGACGAGAGGGCTTATAGCAGCGGGGGAGGGGAGGACCACCACCAACTCTGGGACATGCAGTTGAATGTGACAGAGAACCTGAGAAAAGGCTCTGGTTTCCGATTCTTAGCAGCCCAGGAGAGGGTCCAGGTGTGCTCTGAACACTGCCCGTGCAGACAGGCAGCACCAGGGCCAGAAAGGCGTGGGCTCTCTGGAAACCGCGATCTCTTCCTAATCCAGGGCAGCGACAACAAACCAATGGGAGCCCAATTTCAAGCACAAATCTCCACAGATGGGGCCACCAAGTATCAAATGGGGACAGCAGAGGGCCACTCCACAGCCTCCTTGACAGACTGAGCAGATAAGCTAGGCCACTCTAATCCCACAAAACAGAAGCTGTGGCCTATCCATCTGCGTCCTGGGAAAAGAAACTGAGCCGCACTACCAGTGACTTTCCGAGACAGACAACTCCCTACCCAGAGAGGAGGCGGAGAAGGCCTCACGCTTAGAGGGCACCTAACTCCCACCCGGGAAAACATCTTCCGATCTGCCTTGCCAGTCTGCCTGAGAGAACAGAGAAGCTTCTTTATCACGTAAACCACCCCAGCCTCTGTAAGGACTCAGGTCAGAGCCGCAGCACAATGATTAAGTGAGGTTGAAAGCTAGAAGGTTAGAGAGGGAAATAGCTAAAACAATTCCTAGGGCAACATCTGAGAACAAGGGCAAAATAATTATGTAATAGACTCCTTCAGGGTCTCCACATAAAGACCACAGGAGGAGGACAAGAGGAGGAACAAGAATCCCGAGGATCAAGCTGTCTCACGGTCTGTCTCGTCGTGCTCCACGGAGCAAGACCAGATGCTGACCCTGCGCATGGCCCGTTCCACACCCCGAGCACGTCTGGAGGCCAGGAGCCCCTCAGGGCCAGAGGGTCCAGGCTCAGCGCGGCTTCGGAGAACCATTCATCTGGCTGCTCTGAGTTACAGTGTCAGTGCTGAAAAGGCTGTCCAAGAAGACTGAGGACAATTCTGCGACCAGGTTCCTGTCAACGGTCGTCTGGGCCATGCCGTAGATCGCACCCTACAAATCCAGTCAGAGTGTTAGTGGCGATGGCGTATGGGGGTGGAGACGAAGCTGTGGCTCCGATACCACCCCCCACCCTGCAATCCCCGCCTTCCACGTCCGCTCCCCACTCTGGCTCCATACCCACCCAGGCAGCTCTTCACAGGTACTTGCTGGTCTGCCTTTCTGGCCAAAGGAACTGACCCATGGAATTTGCCAAAGAAAATTCCAGAGAAAACACGCTTATTGTCTTTCCTGTGTCAAAATTTTCCATTCAAAGGGACACGACCATCACCTGCCTCTGTAGGACACGTTCAAATATATAAGGTGCATTATCTACAGCACGCCTCACTTGAGACCAAAGAGCCTGGAAACGGGTGAGGCAGAGGTCATGAGCTCCAAGGAATAAGGTTTGCAGAGATAGAACAGAGGCAGGAAGAGACCTGAGGTCACCTGGTTCTTCCAAACCCCCCACGACACCTAAACTTCCATAGGAAGATAAAAGTCCCCAACATCCCTACCATTCCTGTGGTCTTTGCTTTAGGATTCTTCATGATTTGAGTGACAGACTCCCGGATGTCCCTTAGGAACTGTACGGCTACACGCTTCCGGGTGTGTACTAGCGTAATGCAGAAATGAATACTGTGGGAGAAGAGAGAGACAGGCGGAGATGAACCTTGAGGAAAGAAAACCAAGTTCTAAAATAAAGCAGCCCCACAGACTGTAATTTATCACTCCCTTCTTCATGTTATTTGTGACAAGTGTTCCCAGTCCTGGGACTCAGGGCTCTCAAATACACGGGCTGTCAAGCCTGGGCCGGCACGAGGGTGTCACGCCTCCACGCGAGCAGCAATATCCCAACAAAAGGGAGTACAGGCTGCCTGTTCTGTCCCACCTCTCCCCTCAGAAACTGCCAACTGCTCTGCCTTGAGTCACGGGGCTACCAAGGGGATGCTCTCCTCGCAGATGATAACCCCCCACACGCTCAGGGCCACAGGGGTCTTGAAGGACTTCAAAGCACAGAAGAAATGCTCACACCCCCTGGAGGGAGACCGAGGCCCAGAGGGATCATGAAGAAGAAGAAGCTGAGTCCAGGTGGGACTGGCAAGGGCACCACCAGGTGAAAGGATCAGGGTGCACCGAGGATGCCTGGCGGTGGGGGGTTATGCCCTCGGGGAGCGGTGTTTGTTTACAGGCACCATGCGGGATGAGATGACAGAAGCATGTTACAGGACAGGGAGGGCAGTGGGCCTGAATGATGAGAAGCCTGTGGAAGGTTCTGAGCGAAGTATGACTCAGGTCATGAGTGCGTCCAAGGACAATCTGATGGTGGTTACGAGATGGGGCGCAGAGTACACAGCCCAGGAAGAGGGTAGGGTCTGCTGTAAAGGGGTTCCTGACCGACCAATGGTCCCCAGAGTTTGAGTAATGCCAGGTGGAGAGTGAAATCACACAGATAGTCCGTCGGCCCCAGGGCGCTGGCCTCGCTGTCAAGTCTCTAGGCTTCGGGTGGCCCCGCTACTCAAGCTGCTGGGAAGTCACAGAGCACAGCGAGGGCGGGAAGCTCCCCGGGTCTTACCTGGGCGGGAACTGCAGCTGGTTCAGATTCCAGCCCTTAGCAGTCATCAGGTTGAACAGCCGGTAGATGTCAAAATCTCGGGAGCCCAGAGCAATGACTGACAACTGGGGATTCCCAAAAACAAAGATGCCTTTGACGTTTTCCAGTCTTAAACAAACAAAAAAAGGAACAGAAAGGAAATTTCAGCCACATATACTGCTTGGGCCATCATCTCTTTCGTCATGCAACATCTCCCCTGTAACACAGTCTCATCTTTTAAGGCTTCAGCTTGCTCACCTTCTAAAATCAGGTGGCAAGACTGAGATCAGTGGTTCCCAAACATTACAAACATTCAAAGGCCCAAACTCCACTGAGCTCGGATGAGTCAGAGTCACTGGCTCCTACCCTGTCTGCCCAACTCCCAAATTATTATGTGCCCAGGGGCATATGAGGCATAAAAGACATACTTAAGAAAATAATCCTGGAAAATAACCCTTCCGTGTCTGCAATTTAAAAAGTCATGTATGTAATCCCTAAAGCAAGAAATGGCAGAGCAGTTCGCAAACAGATGGGTGTATTGGCTGCGTATACGTAGGCTTTGTTCAAATGAGACATGCCTCCTGGCCGCTTTCACTCACCCTCCAGATTCTGAAAAAGCCTCCCCGGGGCAGGTGAGCCACAGAGATTGGGGGGGGGGTGCGGATATACATGAACAGGTGTGTCAGACAAATGTGCTACCTCGTTCTAGCTTCATCCCCGCCCTGGGTTTCCCAGCCCGCCCTTCCCCCACTCCCTCTGCCTCATCTACCAGTGACTCTAGTCCTGCAGCTTCCGTATCCACTGGGAGCATCCCAGAAATGCCGGTCCACAGACTCCCATTCCAAATGGACGGAATGAGAAGCCTGGGGGGGCCCAGCAACGTGTGTCGTGACTGGCCCTCCCAATGATGACGACACACAGTCACGTGTGAGAACCGCAGTCTGCAGCATTCACGGAGCACAGCATCTGGGCAGTGGGTAAGAGCGGCCAGTCATGAAGACATCCTCTGAGACACAAGGGCCTACACATGAAGCCTGGATCGGACCCTCCAAGTCCCAGCAGCGCCAGGGGGCTTCTCCTCCTCCCAGGCCAGCACCACACCCCTGAGCTGCTGTCCTAAACCCCTGGCCACTAAAGGATGCTGACTGGGCTGGGGGCACAGGTGCTGGGCCCAGCACATGCCTCAAGTCTAGGAGCAGACAAAGCAAGAGACGAGGCAGAAGCCCAATCTAACACACATACTCTGACTTGAGGAAGCGAGTAGTTTTGATGATCTGTTTGGTGGCCTCAACATAGCCGCTCTCACCGAAGTGCATCAGGGCAGCCCAACAGGCCGCGCTAATGCCTCCGGGCCGGGAGCCTGCGATGGTCGGGGACGCGTAGATGCCACCCTGCCAGTCTGTTGCCACGAAGAACTGATGGCTCCTATACTTCTTGTCACTGTAGAGCAGCACAGAAGAGCCTTTGGGGGCGTAGCCATACTGAGGGGAGAAGCGCACAGGTGAGTGCCCGCCCCATGAGCTCCTCCCGCACGTCTCCTCCTCCTACGCCCCTTCTACACGGGCAATTCGGGGGATTCGGAGAATTCGCACTCAGACGTGAAGGGTGGAGGGCGCACAGGGCCAGGGCTACTGAGAGGCCGAGCCCCCCCCCAACCCAGCATGTGGCTTCTCTTCTGTAAACAGGACCCCAGGGCAGGGGTCAGGACGGAAACAAAGATAAGCTCCCACTGGAAACCGGGGAAAAGGGTGGAATTCACGTGAAGCAACTAAAATCCCGGCTGACTCCTTCCCATCCCTCTCGCTCAGTGTTACACTTCCTTTTTAGGAACATCAGGGTGTTTAGAATCTTGAAGCGACTGAATCCCCTTTTAAAAAACAACCTACTACTTGGTTTCCTTACAGCAGCCTGCCCTCCGAGTGAACTCCCGCCGCAGCGAGCACGGACGCGGCTTGGCTCCCTGACCCACACGGCGAGAGACGGTGAGGACAAGGGCACAAGGGGTGGCCTCGGGGCTGAGGCCACCCCAAATCAGGTCCCGACAGGAGGTCCGCGTGCATCACGCAGGGTTTGAAACACAGGTCTCCACCGTACTTGGGATGAGAACAAGCTCCGTGAGTGAGCACACATTCCTGCAGCTGCCCCGACTTCCCCCACAACCGCGTGGAGCTTCAGAGCATTCCCGACCAACTCAGACGTTGTTCAGGCCACCGGGGGCGGCGTCCAAACCTTCTCGAGCACGCAGTTCTCCCCTTTTGCCAAAAGGCTTCCCTTAGCTGGCTCCTGTCACTCTGGGCAGCAGCCCCGGCTGCGTGGGAGCTACAGCACCAACGTCCATTCTCTCAGGAATTCCGCTATCAGCTTCATCACTAGCCTCCACCCCACGGAATCTCAGCGCTTCAGGAACATTGTTCTATGGGCCCCTGTCCTGGCATGTCCCAGCTACATACGGCCGGTGGATGCAGAACTTCTCTTAGCCATATGCCACAAAGATAACGGGTCCCTTTTCACAATTACCGGTCACCTCTAGCACCATACTTTGTCACCTGAACCAGCTACGGGGGGGGAGATCAAAGAGCTGGATTTAATTTTACATTCTGAGTGGAGGTTATTGCTTTAACCAATTTATTTTGTTGACAGTAGTGGAGATAATCAACCGCCTACAGTCGCTTCCCTGTCTCACCTTGTGGGTATCCACTGAAATGCTGGTCACACCTTTCACCCGGAAATCAAAAGGCTGCTCCAACGGGTATCCTGCCTTCTCCATGAAGACGATGAGGAAGCCCCCCAGACAAGCGTCTACATGAAGAGGTATTTTGTATCTGACAGCCAGCTAGTCCCAAAAGACAAAGACCACAAGAGAATTGCATTATAGCCATATAACAAAAACTTGCAAGACGCAGGTGGAAAGGTGTACTGTGACCACAGGCCACTATATACCACGTCTTTCAGGCTTTAAAAAATATTTTAATACACAGGGCCTCAACCTCACTCTAAAATCAAGCAGGACAGAGCAGCCCTCTGACGCTGGACACAAGGTCCTGCTGTAGTAACTGCCGGGTGGGGAGGAAGGGCGACCCGCGGGGCCGCTGCTGGATGCCACCCTCGGGCAGCAGACTCCAAATGCAGCTCATTTTCCCAGCTGAATCTAAACGCCAGTACTCTCCCAGAATATCCAGTTTCAACAGTCTTCTTCCCACAGCAGAAGCCAGTAGCTTTCTGAGGCTCCAAACAGAGCAGCAGGGCTTCCTACGGGGCTCAAGAAATGTGCGCACGTGTCCAAGTTGAGACTTGCTTCTCCCTGCCGAGTACTACACCATTACATTCTATTCTCAAATCTCAGCCTGAGTGCCTGGCGGCCCATTTCTCCCATGTACCTTGGCCACTTCAGGGACAGGATCAATGACACCATGAGGAAACTGGGGTGTAGAACAGACAAGCATGGCCGTGTTCCTGGAGATGGCTCTCCTCATTGCCTAGGGGTTTAAAGTTGAAAGGAAAATGAGAAGCCACATCAGAATCCCTCTTCTGTGCTACTGCCAAGAGCACTCCAGGCCACCGGCTCAGGGTCTGCGCTCCTCTGCCTCTCCAACCCGGGAGAGGACAGCCCCCCGCCACAGTGGCAGCACGCAAACGCGGCCAGAGGGCTCCATCTGGGGAAAAGTCTGAGGCCACAACTTGGCAGGAAAAAGGGCACTGGGCCAAGAGGCAGAGAAACCTGTGCAAGTCCCAGCCCTGCTCACTAGTGTGGAACCCTGGGGCAAACGACTTAACTCCATACAAACTGTTTCCTCACCTGTGCGCTGTCCAAGGACAGACAGTTTCTACAGCCCCCGCCCCTGCCCCCCACCCGGGCTGTCACAAGACTCAGATGCAATTCTTACAGCACCCAGGAACAAGAGAGTTCTCCACAAGGCACAACATAGAAACAGTGGCTAAAGGACTACCACAGGGTCTTTAAAAAAGCAAGCCTGCCACCTGTGACGACATGGATGAACCTGGAGGACACTCTGCTGAGTGAAGTAAGCCAGAGACAGAGAGACAAAGGCTGCGTGACCTCACATACATGGTGCCCATGACAGGCAAACTTGGGAGCAAAGAGCAGGATGGTGGCTGCCAGGGGCTGGAGGATGAGGGGCACCAAGTTTCAGTGTTGCCTGTCCGGACGTTCTGGACCGCTCGTGGACAGCCGTGTGGCCAGGCTGCACAATACTGCACTGTGTGCCTGAAACCAGCTGGCGGTCCAGAGAGCAGCCCCGTGCATTCTAACCCAGAAACAAGGGAGAAGAAGGATGGTGTTAACTATGTAAGATGGGATACGCTCCACAGTGCGGCTGTAGTAAGGAGCTGGCTGTGTGGACACGCGTCAGAACATCCAGCCAGCACCTTAGATACGCACAATTTTTATCTGTCAATTAACTAATTAGTCAACATATCAATAAAGATGGCAGGCAGAAATAATGCTAGTGCTACGAAACTGGGCAGTTTAGTTCTGAAAAGATACAGTTCCTATTTTATTGGCGAGGATATGGATTCGGGCTCCTGAAAACCACAGGGAGAGTCCTGGGCCAAGTCAGTGCGTGTTCATCTTAGAGGGAGGAGAAAGTGAAGCTGCAGAAGTGAAGCCCAGGTCTGCCAAGTCTCAACCCAGGGACTGGACCATCCTGCTTTCTCAGAGCTCACGACTTTATGCAAACCCCGAGCCGCACTCTGTCCCCACAGCGGCGGCAGCTTGGCAGCCCCGTTGCCCACAGTCAGAGGCCACTGGAGCCTCTCTGCGCACAACACTGGAGAACGTCTGTCAGTCGGGCGTGTCCCTGCTCCTCACGGTCCATGGCACAACATGGGCCCTTCAGGGGAACTCACCCGAACATCCACCTCCATCATTTTGTTCAGCGGAACCCGTATAATCTTCATCCCAAAATAATTGGCTGCTTTGTCAAATGCAGCATGGGCACTTTGGGGGGCCACACTAAGTGAGAGAGAAGAGAGTAATGAAATTCAGATAGAAACAGGGCTCAAGAGAGAGCCGAGTTAGTGGCTGGTTATTCTTCCTCATTTTTACAAGTGTTTATACTGTTTTACCCTTTCAAGCACAAAGAAAAAGAGGTCAACTGATTTTCTATAGAAATCTCCCTATGGTTTAGGAAATCCAAAGCATAAATTAGGGCTGACAGGGAGAACACGAGGGCCTGGGAATTTAGAGATCGGCATCCGGCAGAGCCTTCTTGCGTCAACCATCCAAAGCCAGGAAGCCGTGGGGGGTGGTGGGGTCACAGCCAAGCAAGAACCCAAGACTGCTTCTATGAGGTCAGTGGTTCCTTCCAGCTCTGAGAGCCCACGAGCCTGTGAGAAACTGTAATTCCCATTGTTCCTACACACTTGGAAGCAGCACTTCCAACAGTACTGAAATGGGGGTGCCTGGCGGCTCGATCAGTAGAGCCTGCGACTCTTGATCTTGGGGTCCTGAGTACAAGGCCCACGCTGGGCACAGAGCGTGGACAAATCGCACTGAAAAGGGGACCGAGTCATGGTTAAATATTTGCTTTTAGACTTCTCTCAGTTACTGCACTCTCAAAACCAAACGCTCCCTTTACGGAAGGAAAGACTCTACTACTGAGTACCAAGCACCAAGATTTATATACAGAGGCAGATGGCAGCCTGATGGATTCTCTCAGGCCAAGGGCGAAGCACAGCATGAGACCACGTGCAACCCTTGGGTCACTGATACTTGTGGGGAAATGGAAACCCAGAGGATGTAGCATAAACACTCTGGGCAAAGAGAGTGTCTAGAGAAAAAAATGCAGCCAAATATCAAAGTTATGCCCGTGGGGCGGCATTATCGATATACCTCAAAAAGATTTTTAAAAGTTCTCCTCCCAGAAAATAGCCTGCAGGCTGATTTTCTTAGGAAGCACCCTGAGACAGCCTATCATATTTAAGTAACGAGCACTGAACTTAAGGGAATTAGAGAGTTTTTCCTTAGGCTCCAGATTATTTATAATAAATATCACAGAATCCAAAGATGTAGTCCTGTTACTCGATCACTTTTAGAAAAAGGATTTTATTTTATTTTTTAAAGGATTTCATTCTTGCTTTCAGTATTTACCATGTATAAACTTGGGGGTTGGGAAATGAATGACCTTTAAAATTAGCTTTCTGATCCATGTAGGATTCTGTGGAATGTGAGGGGCTAAGGATCGAGGGTGCAGGACAGGATGAAAGAGGACTGGAACTGCCAGAGGAAGAAGGAAGAGAAGGAGAAAACAGATGGTCAGGTTGTTTCCAACCGCGGTACTTCAAACAGATAAATCCCAAAGCCACTCATACATACATTTCTGGAGTTTTGATCCCGTTCTCAAAGGCCAGGTCCCTGTAAGCTTTGCAGGCCATCAGTATGCTTTCTGTCCCCCCAGAGGTCACCTGTAATAAAGAAGAGATGTCATCCTCAGAGTGCAGTGAAGGACAGCTATCGGCATGCACGTCCCACCCTATCTTGGTGGTGTCTGATACAGGAGCAGGTCAGGTCAGGTCTGGCATGCACTCTGCAGAGCGGACACTGCTGTGTCTTCCGGAAGGAAATGTGGCTTTATCAGTTAAGCTCAATCTTGGTTCAGAAGAGTAAAAACCTATGAAATAAGAATCTCTGCACTGTATGGGAAAATGCACCAGCTCCCCAGACGTCGGCAGCGCACGGGCTTAAACTTACACTTCTGCTACTCACCCAGCTGCAGACAGGACAGCACGTTTTACACCACTCAAAAGGGTCAGGATTACAGACTTTGATCTGTATTCCCAGTGCCCACTGCAGAATACGCTGCAGTCACAAAGTCCACTAAACTACATGATATCTCAGCAGATCAAGAAGAAAAGTTAAGATGTTCCGAAGTGAACTGTGGTTTCTCTTTGAAAAAGAAAAGCAGAAGCCTCTACTTAGAAGCTGGTTATCTCACTTACCTGAAGTCAAAACAAAAATCCTAGTGTTTTTAAACAAAGTAAAATGTTTTCCTGAAGCTAGGCCTAGCCCTCTGTTATTGGTGAATTGCTTTATCAGAGTTGAAACGTAAATATTCAAGGGTCATGCCATGTGTCCAATTTCCCTCACGAGACCATAAAGTCATGAAGGTGGGGACCGATCCACTCGAGACAATATTCCAAGCACCTAGCCTAAAGGCTGACACCTAACAGAACCTCACCTAACTTTCTCAAAGCCTGATCTGACACTCAGTAAACCATGACCAACACAGGCACATCATACCCATCAGGTTAGCTTTTGATGACATCTAAGAATGGATCATTTCAGGGGAGTCAGGGTGGCTCAGTTGGTTAAGAATCCAACTCTTGATTTCAGCTCAGATCAGGATCTCAGGGTTGTGAGATCAAGCCCCACATCAAGCTCCGAGCTCAGTTGGAGGTCTCCCTCTCTCGCCCTCTGCCCCTCTCCCCGACTTCTTCTTTCTCTCTCAAATGAATAACTAAATATTAAAAAAAAAAAAAAATCACTTAAAAAAAACACACAAAAAAACAAAAAAAGCCAAAGCACTGAGCTAGGTGGCTATTTTCTTAGATTTCTCATCTCCAAAAATTCATACAAGCTTAGATAACTTTTTCATTGTATGGGTGAGAAAACTGAGCCCTAAGAAGACTAAAATAATCCACCCAATGCCATCTATTAGCATCAGTTGATAAAAAGTAAAACTTTGCTGCAGCACCTTCTTGCTAGACATGTCTTAAAGGCAAGGGAAGCTAGGGCAAAAATGAACTATTGGGACTTCATCAAGATAAAAAACTTTGCACACCAAAGGAAACAGACAATAAAACCGAAAGACAACTCACAGAATGGGAGAAGATATTTGCCAATGACATATCAAATAAAGGGCTAGTATCCAAAATCTATAAAGAACTTATCAAACTCAACACCCAAAGAACAAATAATCCAATCAAGAAATGGGCAGAAGACATGAACAGACATTTCTGCAAAGAAGACATCCAGATGGCCAACAGACACATGAAAAAGTCCTCCACATCACTCAGCATCAGGGAAATACAAATCAAAACCACAGTAAGATACCACCTCACACCAGTCAGAATGGCTAAAATTAACAAGTCAGGAAATGACAGAAGCTGGCGAGGATGCGGAGAAAGGGGAAAGCTCCTGTACTGTGGTGGGAATGCAAGCTGGTGCAGCCACTCTAGAAAACAGCATGAAGGTTCCTCAGAAAATTGAAAATAGAGCTACCCTATAACCCAGCAATTGCATTGCTGGGTATTTACCCTAAAGATACAAATGTAGTGATCCAAAGGGGCACATGCACCCCAATGTTTATAGCAGCAATGTCCACAATAGCCAAACTATGGAAAGAGCCTAGATGTCCATCAACAGATAAATGGATAAAGAAGATGTGAGATACACACACACACACACACACACACACACACACACACATACACATTGGAATACTATGTAGTCATCAAAACTCTCAAAATCTTGACATTTGCAACGACATGGATGGAACTAGAGGGTATTATGCTATGCAAAATAAGTCAATCAGACAAAGGCAATTATCATATGATCTCTCTGATATGAGGAATTTGAGAAACGAGACTGAGGATCATAGAGGGAGGGAGGGAAAAATGAAACAAGATAAAACCAGAGAGGGAAACAAACCATAAGAGACTCTTAATCTCAGGAAACAAACTGAGGGCTGCTGGGGTTGGTGGGGAGGGAGGGATGGGGTGGTTGGGTGACAGACACTGGGGAGGGTATGTGCTATGGGAGTGCTGTGAATTGTGTAAGACTGATGAATCACAAACCTATATCCCTGAAACAAATAGTACATTTTATGTTAATTAATTGAATTTAAATTTTTTTTAAAAAAGGAAAACTTTCTACATTTGTTTATTTGGTGAAGCTTAACATGAGATGGAATAAGAGAGGGGATCTCTGGAATTCATATAATACCCCTACAGAGGACAAAAACACCATCGGCTACAAAATCCCAGTGGTCAGGAGTTACATGGAAAATTAGCTGAGAGAAGTCAGTCATACTGTGATTCAGGAAGTTTTCACCAAACACGTGCCCATCACCCACTAAGTAATGCACTGAATTTGGGCACAGGACGCCCGCCTGTTTGTAGCCTCTGCACTTTTCTGCCAGAGGAGATGAAAATGCTTATAGTGGAGGTCAGCTCTGCAAATCAGCAGCTTGCCCTGTGGTCTAGCACAAAACCTCAGACTGTCACATGAGGACCCAAACGAGCTGTGAAGCAAGTCAGGAAAGGACCGGCAATGTCCAAGTCTCCAGTGTGTCAGCCTCTTACTAAGGTTCAGTAATGACCTATGCAAAAGGATTTCCAAACCCCTAGTCACCCAGCACACACGCCCTATTTTTAGTCCAATAACTAATCAGATCAACATCATTATTTGTTGGGCAAACAGCAGTGTACTTCTGACTGTAAAAGCAGGAATACCTAAATTCTACTTCTAATTTTTATTTCTAATCCCCAAATTCTGTGTCTAAACATGCTATTAACCTCCCATTGCCTTCAACACTCTATGCCCAAAGAAAATTGGAAATTGTGTAATCAGAAGATGAAAGCTTCAATAACTACTAATGTTAGTCAGCTTCTTCCGACATTTAGAAAAACTCTTGCTATAATATAAGAGAAGTATGTCAGAGAATAAGAGGAGAACATGGCCTGTTGAGAGAATTTTCTTTCAGATGCTGTTTGGACCCAGAGGCCTTTGCACAAGCCAAGACTGTTTCCCAGGGCAACAGAAGTTCTTTCCGTATATGAAATCACTTCTCATCCATTACTAACAGAGCCAAATGAAGTTAGTAACAGAAAAGATGGTTTAGACTGAAGAACAAAGAACCTGAAAAGAGCTTAAGAGCTTCAGAGCTTGGCCATGCGGCTCTGTCTCGGTTCCCACCTCCGAACTTTCTTCACTGAAAGCAACTCATCAAGAGAGAGACAAAGAGATGGAGACAGATACTGAGAAGAGTGAGAGAAACAGAGAAACTCAAAGTACCCCAGAGGTAATTAGTTCTCTTATAAAAGTCTAAGTATTAGAAAAGACTAAGGGATCTCAGACTCCATCCTTCTCCCGAGCCCGGATACCATAGCAATGCAAAAATGCCCCTGGGGTTGGACTTGGGCATTAAGATGAAACACTGAACCCACCTCACAGCTACTTCCTCTCCCCTGGTACCTAAAAGTAGGGAAAAAACAGCTGCAGAAAACTATAATCGCAACCACCAAAGAAAAGAGAGAGAATACAATGCAATAAACTTCAAATACTGGCAATGAAAATGACAGACAAGTTACTAAAGTTCAGCAGAGAGCAAAACACAGTTCCTAATCCCTCTTCCAAGCCCTTCAAATTGTCCAACGAGCCAGCAAAATCCTGAGGATTCTCATTAATACCCCTCCAAATCTTCAGAGAAGCAAGTGGATGAGGGTTCCTCATCTTCTGCTCTGTGAGTGGTAGACAAGGCAGCTAGGGAGAAACGGGCAAAATGGGGAAAGAGAACACTGGGACCAACCCCTCAAAGTCACGGCTTCAAGGATATAGAATGGGTTAAAGAAATAATCAAAGCCCAAAGGGTATTACTTTCTTCCAACTAGGCAGAGTGAACTCTAACAGGCAACTTTTAACAAAATCTCAGAAGAGACCCAGATATTCTAACACAGGTGTGGCCTGATATTCTAATACAAGAGGCCCTCAACCTAATGCTCTCCGATGAGAAATCAGCCAGCATGTGTCAGAACAAAATAGAATATTCTGATCAGCATGAGCCACAGTGAAAGAAAATGGCATGGTCACTAACTCAAAAGATAAAAGTCTGAGGAGGAGAAGGGAATTCCTCACCACTGTTTCTCACTATAGGACAACATGACAAGACGATGAATTCAAGAAAGTAAGAGCTGAAAGACTGGACACCCAACTAAGAGAATGAGACCTCAGACCTAAAACACAGAGTACCAAACGACCCTGATACAGGAGTAGTAAGGACACGAGAACAGAATAAACACTGCTGAGAATACAGATCAGAGCTTGGAGGAAAGGTTTAAGGCAAGTTTAGTGAACCCAGATTAAAAAAAAAAAAAAAAAAGACAGAGACTGAAAGATCACTGTCTCTCCACACTTGTATCCCTCTGGCTGGACACACATAACCAAAAGGTGTTTGGAGAAGAAACACAGGCATGGTCACCAATCTGCGAAATTGTATTCTCTAAGAATAGCTGAGGAATTAAATTTTATTTATTTATACTGAACTCGAACAGAGCAGAATCAAGAATCCTAGCAGACAAGTGAGTGCCAAAGCTGGTTTCAACTCTGAGGGCTGCTACCACCCTCTGAGACCCCCGACCCCCACCGTGACAAACGAACAGGAGGTAAACTGCGGGCCTGTCCAAGGTCGAGAGTCTAACAGGAGACAGCTGGAGAACCTGGGACTTACACCCACATCTCGGGGGAACAAGAAATTAAAGCCCCACTGGTGCAGAAGAAGACAGCTCGAAAAACTGCTTTCTCCCCGACCCGATGCTCTGGTAAAGAACAATAAAATGCTCTGGTAAAGAAGCATTGATGTTCTGGTAAAGAAAAATAAGGCTCTCTCTCAAGAACGACTCACGAGACAGCTCTCCCGTGGGTCTGCAGCGTGAACTCAGGCGCCCTCTGGAGGATGAGACTGCACCCTGAGCATCAGACTCAAATGGGTTCCAATGTGACAGCACCTCCCAGCAAGTCCCCGGCAACTGCCAGAAGTAACTACACATGTGCCCTGCGAGAACTTCACTTCAATCTGGAGACTAAAGTTCCCAGGAAGATGTAAAAAAAAAAAAGTCACAAATATAAGGATACAAGATGATTATGAGTGAAACCAGCAGAAACAGAGAGTTAAGACTCATGAGTAACAATCCTGTCTGATAATTCTATCAGACGCAGAATATAAAATACTTACATGCAACATATTTAAATGAACAAAACATAAGCCAAGGAAAGAAACGATAAAGAACCACTGTGCAGGGACACCTGGCTGGCTCAGTCAGCAGAGGTTGCAACACTTGACCTCAGTGTTGTGAGTTCGAGCCCCACATAAGGCATAACACTTAAATAATAACAGAAATAAATAAATAAATAAAATGAGCAAAAACCTAGTTTAAAAACAAAAGAATCCCCAGGTAGATTAAGACAAAATTCTCAAAAATGAAGAATACAGTAAATGAGGCTAAAAAAAAAAAAAAGCAAAAAAAACAAGGGCGCTTGCGTGGCTCAGTGGGTTAAGCCTCTCTGCCTTCGGCTCAGGTCATGATCTCAGGGTCCTGGGATCGAGGTCCGCATCAGGCTCTCTGCTCAGCAGGGAGCCTGCTTCCTCCTCTCTCTTTCTCTGCCTGTCTCTCTGCCTACTAGTGATCTCTGCCTGTCAAATAAATAAATAAAATCTTAAAAAAAAAAAAACACCTCAATAGGAGAACTCCTATGCAGAGGAGACACGGCTGAAGAGGGAATCCATGAAACCCCTGTACTCATCTCCTGGCTCCAACAATGAGCACCTCACAGCCTGTCTTTCCTCCACCTGCAAACGCCCCCGCCGCTGCGGCTGATAACACCTGCTCTTTCAACACTAATTACACCCCAACCAGGTGCGTGGCAGCCCTTCTTGCTCCAGCCCTCATGTCTCTCCAACCTCCTTTGTGCTGCTTGTCCCTCTGGATGTTTTTCCGGCTAATTTTGTATAAGTCTTATTCTATAAATTGGGTTAGGAGCCATGTAAGTATTTTACACCATTCTGAATGAAACAGGGCTCTTCAGACAAATGGCTGGCTTGGTGTCTGGAAATGCATAAAGCAACCCTGGAACATTTCAGCAAATAAAAATATTTTGTCAAAAAAAAAGGAAGGAAAGAAAAGAAGCTTTCAAAGACCACTTGAGTCATACAAAAGGACCTAGAGGCCAAAAATAAGTAGCTCCCACTGGTCAAAATGGGCTAATCTGAGCATCACTCAGAGCAGCAGCTCGGATAGACTGAAACACAGGGAGCAGTCTGTAATTTCCCCCACTGCTGACTGACATTTGAATTACTTGCAGTTTCCAAAATCACGGACAATGCTGCTAGAATATCCATCTATCCTGACATACATGTGCCAGTTTTCCGGGGGCATGTACCCTAAGTAGTTAAATTTCTGGGTCGTGAGATACATGTTTCTTCCACTTCTTCAGATGAGGCCAAACCGTTTTGGGCTTGCTTAACTGATGGTCTCTTCAGAGTTCAGAGAGTCGATGGCACAGGAGGAGGCCTACCTGCTGGGAGTATACTGGATGGGTCAAAGAGGGAGGGGGAGAAAGAAAGGAGCAGACACAGCAGATGTGCAAAATATTTACAGTAACGGAATCCACGGTGCTGTCTTTCTAGTAACTTCAGGTTTAAAATTTTTCAAAATATAAAACTGAAGGGAAAAAAAATCTTAAAAAATACACAATAAAATGCTGATGCTCTAAAAATTCCAGAAGTTAGCATTTTTACATTGCTGTTAATCTGATCTTCCTACCAATAATCACATTACTTGTGTAACAAAATGTTTCCAACAAACTCTTCTATTTTAGGATAAAAACATAAGGTTATTGGAGGCCACCTGCATATACTCACACAGCCACAGGAATCCGGCCCCCCATTGAACAGGGAACAAGCTATCCTCACAATCTCGGCCTCGATCTTGCGCAGTCCCGGGAAGATGTCTGGATGCAGTGGATTACTCCATGCAAAATCTCCGTAAGCCTGCAAACCGATGCACGCAGATATGAAGCAGGAGGGATAAATACACGGTATGGGACAGGAAATCATGCACTAGACAAAGGTTTCTAGACACCAGGCACAACCCTAGAAACTGGAAAAATGGGAAGACATGTGTTGCCCTCCAAAGAAGCTCAAAATACAGTGGAGGAGAAAGACTTGCAAATAAGCTATTTTACAACATGGTGAGAGAGGAGATCTGAATGTGGCTCAAAGCACACACTGAAACACCAAACAGACCCAATTTGCAATCTTAGCTTTGCCTATTATTTCTTGCTGTGTCATGTGAGGTCAAAACACCTCTCTGAGGTTCAGTGCCCTCATGTGCTCAAGGAGACAATCATGGACCCTGCCTGATAGGGTTCTAGGTAAATAACATTAGGTATGCAAAGCCCTTAGGAGAGCATCTGGCAAAAAGCAGCCAGGTGTGTGATAGCAGAAGTATGCAAGTGATGAAAGGAGCCCTAACGAGGGAATAACAAACAGCCTGAGGGGTCTGAGGTGTCTGTACAGGCAGAACCTTGACAGATCAATAGGAATTCGTCATTTTGAACAGGTAGGATGAAGGAGGGGAGGAAAACATGATAAGAGCAAGGTACACTCAGTGAAGAGGAAAGGTGGAAGTTCAAATTTACATGGGAAAGTAACAGAGGTAGTTGAAAAACACAGGTGGGAGCCGGCTGAGGCTGGGCTTGCATTTTCTGCTATGTAAGCAGCTTGGGTTTTATCCCATAGATAGCGGGAAGCTACCTTTCAGTGGAAATCTTTCAGTGGAAAGATTTTTAAGCTAAGAAGTAAGCTCAGAGCATTATGTCAAGGTATAGCCGAGCCAAACTTATAGTATTTAGTAAGGTAGGAGCTGTTTCATAGTTACCATAAGACCTTAAACACTGTTGAGTCCAATGCCAATGCCAAAGTGGGGTTTAGGAAATAAACTGGATTAGGAGAGGAAGAAGCTATAGGCAACCCTAAAGTCAACCAAAAAAAATGAGAATTATTTCAATTATGAGTGAGCCTATTGCTTATTCTCAAAATCATTTGATCTGAGACTCAGGTGGTACAGGGAATGAGGGACAAGTGTCTGTTCCTCCTCTCTTCTCATCAAAGTATGTCTTGTCATTAATAACCTCAAGTGATGGGGAAACAGACAACCTTCCCCAGTAATCTGCCTTCTACATGGGGCACCGATAAAGCATGGAAACGTAAGTAATATTGTCCTTTTTTATGGACTGAAGATGTCTCTGACAATATTATCCATATTCACCTATGTATGGGTAAAGAGAAACTTTTCAACTATCCTTAAGTAATTTTTTTTTTCTTATTACAAAAGGAAGGAGAAAAACTGAGGTAGTATGAAGGCCACAGACCACACACGCTCCCTTGGGGTGCCAGCATTCACCTTCACCAGGAGTTCGGTGAGCTCCTCTGCCCCACTGTACACTGCTCCAGAGGCTTTCCCTTCCTGCCAGAAGATGTCTGTAGAGAAAGGTAAGACCACTGGGTCAATAAGCAGGAACCTCCCCAAAATATAAAGAAACACCTCTGGGTACAAAAGAAGAAAAAAAAAAACTTTTGAGTAGAAACCCGAAGGTGTTCTTATGTTAAATCAAGAAAAAGAATTCCAATAAAGACTTATTATCATAGCAAAATAAAGATGAAAGTGTGAAACTACCAACAATAATGTGAAAAAGAACGTAGGAGCATCCAGGTATAATACAGTCCAATAATGATGTTGTCATCATCCCCAGCGGCCTTCTACCAGTACCAAATTGTTCCTTTATCTATACTCATTTTCTAGTCTCTGTATGGCTAACTTGACTTTTTTCTCCCCTTCCTATCTAGTCAAAGGAAGTGTGAGAACTGTGATAAGCAGAGTTGGCAGGAAAATGCAAGGCGAAGTGTGAAATTTCAGTACACTATCATCAAAGGTGGAACCAGGGAACTGACTCCCTGACCAGACAAACCACGATGATGAACACACCATCAGCACCCTGGTCTCAGCGGCCCTGGCCTCACACGAACCCAAAACCCACCCACAATTCCACCTCCGGTGTGAGGTGCTTCTCCAAAGACAGTCTACGTTGTATCAGCGATTCTGCTGATGTGTGTAGCAGGTACCTCTGATACAACACCGTTGTGCCCTACTGAGAGTGGGCAGTGACAAAGCTATCAGAGACACACTAACTGAAAACTGTCGCCACGGGCCCCACAAATCCACGCTCTTCAGCTCCAGCAAGAGAGCAAAAGAATGAGTAGCAAACATCCAGACAGACAACCTTCAAAAATAGAATATGTGGTTTCATTTCCTGTTATTTTACCGGTGCTACTGACAATGACTCAGAAAAGGGAAGGCAAGGCAATATGGCGACAGGAATGTGCCTTCAAGATCAATGAAATCTTTAATATCCAGGTCTCAATTGGCTGATCCCCGCTTTATATCACCTATAAATCCTGGGCTGCTCTAATTTTATACTATCCAATGTCAAAATCTCAACATATGTCAATTAGAAATTTTTAAGTGTATTTGCTGAAATGCAATGTGGCATCCTGGATTGGAGCTTAGAACATTAAAAAGGACATTGGTGGAAAAACTGACAAAATAGGAATAGAATTTGCAGTTTAGTCAACTACTATTTTGACAAATGAATCACAGTCACTTTAGATGTTAACTTCAGGAGAAGCCAGGTGTATGGGAAATCTCTGTATGTATGAATTTGCAAATTCTCTGCAAATCTAAAATTATGACAAACTAAAAAGCCTGTTTTCTAAGAGTACTTGCAATATGATCTTACTCTGTAACAAACCTGCGTTTGTGTTAATAGTCAACATTTTGGGGCGCCTGGGTGGCTCAGCCAGTTAAGAATCTGTCTTTGGCTCAGATCATGATCTCAGGGTCCTGGGATTAAGCTCTGCATCTGGCTCTCCGCTCAGTGGGGAGTCTGCTTCTTCCTCTCCCCGCTGCTAGTGCTTTATCTCTCTCTCTCAAATAAATTTTTTTTAAAAAAGAGTCAACATTTATTGAGCACTTACTACATGCCAGGTATTATACATTTACATGTATGATTTTATTTAATCTTTGTAATCATCTTTTCAAGTAATCCCCATCATAGAAAGACAGAGACCATGACATAAGTTAAGTAATTCACCCAAAGTCACACTTTAGGTGGCCCAACCATGATGTGAATCCAGGCTGATTCCACGGGCGACACTCTGTTTTAAAAGACCTTTGCATTTTTTTAAAGTAATCTCCATATCCAAGGTGGGGTTTGAATTCACAGCCCTGAGATCATGAGTCATGTGCTCCCCCAACTCAGCCAGCCAACGCTACACTCTTAAACATTAAGCTACTTGGTATATTTATCCTTCCCTTACATGCATGCATATATATGTATCTATCTGTGTGTGTATGTTTATTACACAAAAACACTATTAAAATTCATATATATACACATACATATATATACACACACACGTGTGTAGGTGTGTGTGTGTGTGTATCTCATCTGTGTTTATCTTGTGATGATGGGATTTTCTTTTGTGCCTTTGTGCAGATTTCACAATTTCTGTAATGAATCTGCATTTTATTTTATTTACATATATATTCTCTCTTTCAAAACAAACTATGTTTTATTCAGGCTCACAAAAGGAAATGGGACCAAGTTCCAGTTCCACTGTCTCTGAGATTTGTTTGCTTTATGGATGAAGGATGAATTTAAGCATAATTTTTATAGTAAGAAATTCAGCCTCTGAGACAGGATGAACATGTAAGTTCCAAGGATGAAGCATTCTTAACCTATGACATTAAACAAGGACCAAACCGGCCATGCTGGGAAAGCAAGCAGCGTGCGTTTGACCAGAATCATACCCATAGAGCTGTACTCCTTGAGCTTCTCCAGGACTGCAGCCGCGCTCAGACCTTGCGAGGGCAGAGCTCTTACATACTCTTTGTCCACTTTCAGGAATGACATGTTCTTGCTTATATCATCCTTGGTCTTGTTCACCTTCTCTTGGATCTCCAAAGGGAAGAAAGGCAAAGTTAAAAAGGATATGGAAAAATACAGGCCAGGGAGCAGAAGAACCAGTTATGACTCCGAGTCAACCACTCCGGGCTGGGCGCCACACGGGTGCGACAGAACAGGGATGGTATTTTTTTTCAACAGATACGGGGAGGTGCTGGCTGCTCAGCTCTTTGCTGGCATGTGAGACAGGCTCTTAAGAGTCTGAAAAGTCAACTTTCTTTCTGAAAGTCAAACATGCATTCAGTTTCCCTCCCCCACCCCCTTCCTCTGGGATGCCCGACATCAGCCCTGCTTTACTGGGTTCGCATGAGCCAGTGCCGGCACCTGTGAGCATGGTATCTGGACCATATCCGCGTCCTGGCAGCGGCCAGTGTGTGTGCTGAAGAAACAAAGGTGGAGCCACGAACGGCAGCCAGAAAATAGGCCACATGCAGAAGGGATGCTGGTGCCTGCGCCAGTGATGGGCTCCGTCATCAGACATGCATGGAGCACACCCAGAACGCGGAGGCCCTGTGCAACTCCCCAAATGCGTGCACAAGACCGCCGGGGGCACAGGGAGAGCGCATTCCACCTCCTGGGGCAGTCTGCTGCCTGTACTCCCTGAGGCTTCGGTGCTAGGGGAGTGGCGGTCCTCTCCGTGTGGTTCATCAGCTATGGCTTGTTTCTCCTCGGCCCTCATCCTCACTACAACAGCCCGTGCTTTCCCTTCGCCGTTGCCCAACGACCCCTGTGGGCCCGGGAGACACAGCGACCAGAACACACCAGAACACCAGAACACAGCAGTATGAGTGAGAACAACTTCTGTTCTCACGGCAATTCCCTGTAGCAGCAGACACAGAGAGTGAAAGTCAGGTGGTAGAAAGTGCTGGGGGAGGACAGAGCAGAGTTTTAAAAACACACCAAGCCAGCAGGGGCTGCTATCTGTGCTAAGGGACCCCTGAGGGTCAGGCCTGAAAGAGCGGCTACAAGCCACGATCTGTGAGCATTACAGCAAGACCATTTCAGCGACCTGTTTGTGAATGTCCGAGGCCCAAGATCTGACCCCAAATGTTGCAACTTTCCCATCTCTAGCTGTAGAGGATTAGAACAGGAGAGGCGCCTCCTAGATGAGGCCCCCAGCGAAACCGCAGGGAAAGCAGGGCCTGGGAACCAAGCCCACCAGGCTAGCAGGCAGGCAGAGGCCGGCAGCGGAGGCCACGCCCAGGGTAGCAGGGAGACCTGTGATGGGCATGAAAGCATTTTTAAAGTTGTACGTGGACTGTACTGCCTAAATGGCAAGCGCACAACAGGACCAAGCCATGGGAGCCAAGCTTCCACGCCTAGACTGCCGCTGTAATAAAGCAGAAGAGACACGAAACGATGATGATCATCTTAGAAACCACAGCATATACCTTTCCCCTAGTGCCTGCCTCAGACCCTCAATCACATTCTAATTTCCTCACTGCATTTATTTCAAAAGGAAATTCTTGTGTATTTGTTCATGTATCTATTTTCTGCTTTTCCCAGGAAAATTGCACAGATTGGGGACTTAGTCCCCAGCACCCAGAGCAGTACCTGATGCTGAGCACGGGCCCGCAAACCGTCAGCTGAGTAAGTGAATGTAGTGAAATGAACTAGGCAGGGACACATCATGCACACTCGCTCAAAACAAAGAACTATCTCTGAGCCTCAAAATCTGCTTCTAAAAAATGAAAGGTGTCTGCTTAGTTTCTAAGTGCCTTCCAATTCTGTTATTTTATAAATTTAAGAACGGGTTCTGGAACCCTAGCACTTATTTGTCCCAAAATCTGAAACTGAAGGAGAAATGTGTGAAGAAAAAGAGCAAAAAAATACGGGGAATGGAAAGGGGAAATGCTAGTATCCTTTGAAATCCAGTCCACTCTCTACGGTTGCCCTCTCCCTATCTTTTAACTCTAGAACGACTCAAGGAGATTTCATTTTAGGGCTTAAGATGATTTAGGGTCAAATAAAAGCCTATCTATTCCCATTCCCCTTTTCTACCCCAATGACTATTTCTGCTTCCCTATCAGGAAGTGAACCTGAAAATAAGTACACGGTTACTGGAGAGTTAGTTAGCGCAGGGGTCTGAATGGATTTTGGTCAAAGGTTAAAGATGACTGACATCTCTTCTGATTTGGCCAGGAAAGGGGAAAAGGGAGAGGGAACTGAAAGCCAAAAGCGAAAGAGGGACAGGCAGGGCACGTAGGGAGACGAAGACATCAGGGCCCATGTGCCTTCCTTAGGGCTCGCATGGGGCCTTCCTATTTATCTTCTGCGATAAAGAGCCGGTGGGAAGGGTAAGAGGTGACGGTCTCATCCTCAGCATGGGTAAGGGGACAGAGGACGCAGGGAAGAGAACATAACACTACAGACAGGTACAAAGAGCAAGAGAACAGAGCTCTCTAAGTTCAAGACCTGGGACCCACAGACCACAGCTGGGATCTGGCCCCTGGCTGTTCAGGGAAACACAGCCAGGCTCATCCCTTTACGTACCCAATGGCCTGTGCTGCTTTCCTGCTCCAGGGGCAGATGCGAACAGTTCTGACAGATACGGTATGGCCTGCAAAGCCTAGAATGTTTCCTATCTGGTCCTTCACGGAGAAAGTCTGTCAACCCTGCCCTAACCATGGAAGTACCCGACCCAGACACACATCTCAAGTTAGCACAGCCAAACACTGCTCAAAAGCATCATGCCATTTTGGTCAGCTTTCCTAATTGTAAATTCTGCCTCAACAGATGTCACCTGTCTCCTTTGGTCAAATAGGTTGGAGAGAGGGTTCAGTTGGGTTTCTTAATCTTGGCACTTCCGATATTCTGAGCCAGGTAATTGTCTGCTGGGCCCCACAGGATTTTAGCAGCACCCCTGGCTGCGTTCCACTGAGAGCCAGCAGCACCCCACTCCAGTTGTGACAAACAAAGGCATCCTCAAACATTGTCAGATGTTCCCCGGTGGGTAGGGGGACAAAAATCACCCCTCGCCCTGGGGAATTCACACTAGGTTCAGTAAACAGAAAGAAGACGTCATGATCATGGGGGTGGTGGGAGGGCAGGGAGATCTAGCAGATTCCACTTACCTTGCGACCGATAATAGGCATCTTCCTGACGAGCTTAAAACATCTCTTTTTGAACCTCGACCACAAACCTAAAAGAAACAGAGGGTTCCGTTACCCGAATAAATTCCTATGGATAAGGTATGAACTCCTCAATGGGCCTCCTACAACCTCACCCACATACTGATCACAAAGGTATTCTCTCTGTTTTAAAAAACCTTTAAATTTAAACTGCCAAAGTACTACATTTACATGGTTCAAAATTTTTAAAAAATCGGGGCGCCTGGGTGGCCCAGTCAAGTTAAGCATCTGACACCTGGTTTCGGCTCCAGTCACCATCTTAGGCTCCTGGGATCAAGTCCAGAGTTGGACTCCATGCTGAGCACAGCGTCTGCTTCAGATTCTCTCCCCCTCCTCCTCTGCTTCTCCCCCTGCTCATGTGTACACATGCACTCTCTTTCTCTTTTTTTCTCTCTCAAATATGTAATAAATAAGGTCTTTAAAAACTTTTTTTAAATAAATACACACAGAGTTAAAAGTTTCTCTCTTGGGCGCCTGGCTGGCTCAATCATTAAGCGGCTGCCTTCAGCTCAGGTCATGATCCCAGGGTCCTGGGATCGAGCCCCACATCGGGCTCCCTGCTCAACAGAAAGCCTGCGTCTCTTTCTCCCACTCCCCCTGTTGTGTTCCCTCTCTTGCTGTGTCTATCAAATAAATAAATACAATCTTTAAAAAAAAAAAAAAAAGTTTTTCTCTCATTGATTCCCCAGGCTTTCATCCTACCCTCAGGTAAACACTACTACTCTTCATTTCTAGAATAGCCATCTAGAATTTCTTTATGCTTATACAAGCAATAATAAAGATAGAATCTTATTTGCCCCACCTTTTAAACAAAAGGTAGCATACAATAGCACTATACTAGACCTTGATTTTCTATTTAGGCATGTTCTCTTAAAGCTCAGTGCTTCCTCATTCATCTTTTTTTTTTTTTTTTTTAAGATTTTATGTATTTGAGGGGTGCCTGGGTGGCTCAGTGGGTTAAAGCCTCTGCCTTTGGCTCAGGTCATGATCCCAGGGTTCTGGGATCGAGCCCTGCATCGGGCTCTCTGCTCAGCAGGGAGCCTGCTTCCCCCCCAACCTCTCTCTGCCTGCCTTTCCACCTACTTGTGATCTCTGTCAAAAATTATATATAAAATCTTTAAAAAAAAAAAGATTTTATTTATTTGAGAGACAGAGAGAGCACAAGAAGGGGAAGGACAGAGGGAGAGAGAGAGAAACAGACTTGCCGCTGAGCAGGAAGCCAGACACGGGGCTCAATTCCAGGACCCTGGGATCATGACCTGACCAGAAGGCAGACATTTAACCGACTGAGCCACCCAGGCGCCCTCGCATTCACCTTTTTAGCTCTAAAGTAATCCATGATATGGATGTATCATAACTAATTTAACCAGCCCCTTCGTGATGGACACTTAGGTTATTTCCAGTACTTCCTATTATCAACAACAGTGGAACAATAACCTTGAAGCAGGTACGGCCACCTGACCGCGTGCCTACAGCATGAATTCCCAGGAACAGAACACTAGGTCAAATGACATATGTATTGCAGAGCTGTTGACCTTCCCAAAATTCCAGATGTCTAACACCTCTCTTCCCTCCATGAAAAAAATGACCAAGCCATGCTTTTCTTCAGGATCTATGCTCTAGTCTCTCTTCAACTTACCCCCTGACAACTTTTCAACACTTACGGACTTAAAGAGGCCTTCAGTATCACGGACACCAATCAGACTCCCTTCTGTCAGGCAGTACACAGGACAAATATGGAATTCTGATCCTATCCACTGCAAGAATTATAAATACATGGCATCCAAAGAGACCATCATAACTTTTAATAAATCCACATTCAATATAGGAGACTCCTAAAGATCAAACATTAATAATTTGCTGAAGGCCACAGGTCACAACAGTGACGCAGCAGGGATTTAACTGAAGTCTTAATTTTCCTAGCCCTAGAACCCCAGGACTCTACGCTGCTTCAAACACAGAACAGAAATTCTCGGTTATCCCGAATGAGTCCATGAGGAATCTAGACCTAGCTTCTGTGCAGGCAGGAAATGAATGTGACCTTTTACTACATTTCTAGGAGATGGAGACACTCCAACTCCCCTAGCCAGTGAAGCACTCTCCAACGAGCATGGACTGTCTGTACCTCCTTGGTACTGATGACACAACGCCTTGCATCTTTACTGCTTGTTTTTATGTGCGCTGCAGCCCTGCCTTTCCCCCTTGCCCACAGTGCCTAACACCAGAGTCAACACTCCATAACATCTGGGACAAAACCAGGGACCTGAGACCAAGAATGAATAAAAAGACAAAGGGACTGAAATCACTTGTTTGTAGGTTACTTTTTTGTTTAAATTTTGGAGTATTTCCTTTCAGACTTATGTTCTACATACAGCTGCGATCTTACGGTATGTACAACCCCGTGTCCTCTTGTCACAGCCTTTTCTACATTAAAAATTCTTCCTAAACAGAGTTTTTAAAATATTACCATAATAGGCCATCAAATGAGTATAACTTAGCATTGGATATCTAAGCTGCTTATTATCTGACCATTTCTAACAATGTTGAAGTTGTAAAGAGTCATAACAACTTCCTTATTTAGTAGATGAGGTAATTAACTAATGAGGAAGAAAGAGGTCAAAAACTCAGTAAATGGGAGTCACTTATCCAGTAGTAGTCATGTGGCTAGGTGAAGGAGGTGAGAACAGATTGAGTGTGTGCAAGCTGTGAGATTAAACAGGACAGGTAAAAAGAAGAGAATATAAGATCAGAGACAGTGAAATTAGAAATGAAGAGATCATGTGATCATAACATAAAAAGATGATCTCAGAAGTCCCCAGAAGTACGGAAAGAGAAGTAATGATAGTGTTTATTGTAGTGTTTTAAGGTAATAAAATAGGAAATGCAGTGTAAGGACACAAAAGCATGGGTCTTTACAGGTGACAAATTCCTTTCACACAAACGAGGCCTCCTCAATACTGACATTACCCTATGAGTAAGTAAGGCGGGTGACAATTGGGCCCACTTTACTATGAGGAAACGGGCTAAGAGAGCTTAAGGGCGTTGCTCAAGGCACCATGGCTAGAAACAGGCAGAGTGTATCACCTCCTCCTGCCACATAATTCTGATTTCTGTTCATGAACTATGGACAATCCCACAGTTAAATCAATGTCAAAGAATAATGATATGCGCTGATATCGCACAGCAGAATTAGGGATGAGATAACACGCCTGAGAGCAGCTGACCCCTGCCCACGCTCTCACACCCATCCTCTTGCCACTTCTAGTTCTTATCTGCCCCAGTGTCCATCCTGTGTTCCAGAATTATCCTCTCCTCTTAGACGTGTATTCAGAGTTTGAAAATCAGCAAAATTTATCACTAGTCTAGACTTTAAGACTCCTCTGGGGCAATGGGCTGAAAATAACTCAATTGTTCAGTGATAAGGACAACACCTCTCCAGGAGCAAGGTACTGAAATGGCAATGCCGCCAATGTCATCTCCAATCTCTAGAGGGAAGACATTTTGATCAGTGTCTAAAATTCAAGTTAGAAGTTACAAAATAAAAAGCGTAGGGTGTGTATATGTGTTAAACTATAAGAAATTGCTGATATTCAAAAATGCTGACCTAGGGCGCCTGGGTGGCTCAGTGGGTTAAGCCTCTGCCTTTGGCTCGGGTCATGATCCCAGGGTCCTGGGATCGAGCCCCGCATCGGGCTCTCTGCTCGGCAGGGAGCCTGTTTCCCTTCCTCTCTCTCTCTGCCTACCTCTCTGTTTGCTTGTGAACTCTGTCAAATAAATAAATAACATTAAAAAAAAAATGCTGACCTATAGAAACAATAGTTTTTATGTCTGGTTCGACTGGATTCAGATACAGAGAAAAGATACCTGTGTGTAAACAGTGGTTGGCTCTAGGTAGCAAGATTTTCATTTAGTTCTTATGGATTATTGGCATTGCCTAATTATCCGCAATGAACCTGTACTACTTTTATAATAAGAAAAAAATGTATTTAAAAGGACTTAAATAGCTGGGGGTTGGGCTTACAAAGATTTCCATGGCACATACCATCAATACACTGCTACAGGTAATTTTCTTAGGGAATGCATGGAGGCCAGTATATTCTGTTTGGAACAAGGCAGGTACGTAAGTACCAGGGTCTAAGGTAGCTGTGGGCAAAATGCACACAGGCACTGTGGCCTGTAGAACTAAAAACAGAAGTCAATACCTAAAGCAAACACTAATCATAGCGAAGAAATATAAACTCAAGATCTGTAACCTTACGTTGGTTTTAACAAATGCACCACCTTAAAAGGAAAGGTACACAAACTGATGGCCAGCAGGAGCTGGGGGGTGGGGGTCACAGGGAGTTATCATTCAGTGGGTACTGGGTTTCAGTGTGGGATGCTGAGAAAGTTCTAGAGATGGACAGTAGGGATGGCTGTGCAACAATGAGAATGTACTTAAAAACAGATAAAAGAATAAATGTTATGTACAAATATTTTATCACAATAAAAAAGAAAGGAAGAAAAGTCTATTTATTGCTACTCCTTAGAGTCCTCTGGCATAAGTTACTTCACCTGGAAGGACAAGATGGTGGGCTTCCCCGAGCAGAAAGATACAGGTTGTGTCCATTTCCCAACCACGGAGCAGATGAGGCAGAAGGGTTAGTCATGGGAGTTTATGAGGAAACCTTGCAAGGACTAGGAGCAGAAACTGAGGACAGGGTTTTTATAGCTGGAATGGATTAAAATGTAGACAGGGCAAGCAGGTCTCATTTCCACCTTCATTAAGCACAATGTTTACTTCACCTTAACAGCAACAGTTACTAGAACGGCTCAGTGGCTATCTGCAGGGTAAACAGGTAAAAAAGAAACTGGCTTCTAAGTTAACCTTCCTGGGGGAGAGAAGAAAAGCAGAAAAAGTATAGTTTAAGAGCCCCTTCAAACAGATGTTATTAGGAAAGTGAACAGTCATGGACATTTTAAACAAATGAGATATGACACGCAATTCTCTTCAGCGGTGTTGGTTTTTCATCCCAAGGAAGTTAACTCAGGTGCACTCTACTAAGGGTGGGGAAGGGGTGCAGAGGAGAGGTCTAAAACACCCAGCGCCACTCCTGTTTTACTTGTTAAGCACAACCTGCAGGGGGAAACGATTCACAAGGAGGGAACAGGCAACCAGGTTGGGAAGGATGGAGGACTTACAAACCCGTCACTAATAGACTTCTCACCTTCCTCTGCACTCCCTGAGAAGTGGCCTCCTCTTCCCCGTGTCAGTTTGGCTCCCTGAGTAGTAGTGCACTACCCTGCTGCCCGGAAGTTCAAAGTACACTGTCCCCTGACATCCGTGTTTAACTCCAAGAGGACAGGGACCCTGTACGACTTGTGCAGACATCCCCAGAGCCCAGCACAGTGCCTGGCACACAGCACATACTCGTAGGGTCACTGCAGGAGTACTGTTTCATTTTCCCATAATCTATACTGAAAAGATGGCCTAAAATGAACGCAATAAATTCCTGCTTGGGGAACTCCAGGGTATGCAATTATGTTCTACACAAGAAACTAAAAATGAGAAAGTTAATTTAAGCCATGCTCTGAGATACCTGCGGATCCTTACAGTAACTACTTTCTCAGGAGTTTTTGTGCAAGCTGCAAATCCAGAAGGATCAACAAGAGCAGTAACAGACACATGAGAGTAGCTATTATAACTTTACGTATGGAGTCCTACTATAGCTTCATGGTCAGAAGATAATGTCCCACTTCCCATTTAAATAGATTTAAAAAATCAGAACCAAATCAAAAGGCAAGAAATTCGTCCAATCCATCAGCCATGAGTTCTAAGGATGGTGAGACTCCACTGTACCTTTCCAGGAGAGGGGGCGGTGTACTTACTCTCTGGCTGGAAGACAAAATCGTAGGCCCAGACTACGAGCAGGGTGCACAGGACACTCCAGGCAATGAGCTGCCAGGGCTCATACTTGGTGCAATGTCCGTTTACATAATTCTTGGCCTTTGTGCAATAGACTTCCAAAATCTCAAAGTAGGGCTCAAAAGCCTTCTAGAAATACAAGAAGAAAAAAAAAAAAGAAACATGACATTCAGAAAGAGAAAGTCTGTTCTTCTTCTGTTCCTCAGCTCTCATTTTTCAAGGGCAAGGCCATTCAGGATCTGGCCCCACCCCAGCAATAATCTTATCTTCCTCCACGGTCCTCCAGGCTTCTGCTCCAGGCGCTCCAGGGTACACTGCCCCTCACGAGTCAGGTGGACTTTGACAAGGTTTTTTGTTTTGGTTTTTTTTTTTAAGATTTTATTTATTATTTATTTGACAGAGATCACAAGTAGGCAGAGAGGCAGGCAGAGAGAGGAAGGGAAGCAAGCTCCCCACTGAGCAGAGAGCCCGATGGGATCCCGATGCAGGGCTCCATCCCAGGATGCTGGGATCACGACCTGAGCCAAAGGCAGAGGCCTTAACCCACTGAGCCACCCAGGCGCCCCATTTGACAAGGTTTTTGATCCTCTGCCTGGTCTATAAAACAGAAGGTTCTGCGGGATTATCATCTCCATCTTGAAGCTTCACTGTGACTACAGTATCCATCGTCCCACTCTCCTAGCTCCCCCGAGCCCGTCTTCCCCTCCTGCTCTGCTTTATTTGGATCTTTCTCATCCTCTAACCCAGGGGTCAGCAGATTGTTTCTGAAAAGGCCAGAGAGGAAAGGTCTCAGGCATCCCAGGCTGGCTGGTCTCTGTCACAAGGACTCGGCTCTGCTGCTCTGGCAGCAGCCCCTGACAGCACCCCAGACAACGGGAAGCCAATGACCATGGCCGTGTTCCAACAAGTTCATTACAGATGCTCAAATCTGCATTCCACAGAATTGCCCATATCACAAAATATTCTTTTTATAAAAACCATTTTCACAATGTAAAATATCATGCTTAGCTCATGGGCTGTACAGAAAGAGGCAGCAGATGCCGCCAATCTCCATTCTCACATCCAGCTTGGCTAACGCACTCTTAGAGCAGAGACAGAAGCTTACCGCTACGTGCGTCCCTTGCAACAGCCAGCATGAGCAAGAAAAAAGTCCTTGCCCTGATCAGCTACCAGACTACCCCACCCACGAGAATGAATCTCTCCCGCTCAACTCTCCTCAAGTCTCCCCTGGTGCCGCCCCACAGAGCCTAGCTCCAGGTGGCCTGCACTTGGCCTACTCCTCTGTTTTTATCTTCCTCACTGTGCCTGAGGCCTGAGTCCTTCAATGCCCATCAGATATGTGTCATCTCCCCAAGCCCCAAAACTGGTTCAGCTGACAGTTTGTTCCTCACTGGCTTATTCCATGTTTACTAAGCATCCCCAGTGCTGGAGCCTTAAGATAAACACCACAAGTTTTTGCCCTCACTGAGCTTACAGTCTAATGGGAAACGGGGGTGTGTGTGTACACGTGTGTGTGCGTGTGTACACGTGTGTGTGCGTGTGTGCACCCGCACAGGCATACACATGAAAACATACACTGGCAGACATATACATGTAAACTCTTCAGGATAAAAAGTATTTAAGGGGGCGCGTGGGTGGCTCAGTCATTAAGCATCTGCCTTCGGCTCAGGTCATGATCCCAGGGTCCTGGGATCGAGCCCCACATCCACCTCCCTGCTCAGGGGAGACCATGTTTCTCCCTCTCCCTCTGCCTGCCCCTCTCCCCCATGCTCGCTGGCGCATGCCCCAGAGAGAGAGTCTCTCTCTCCCCTAAATAAAAGAAATAATTTTTTTAAAGTATTGAAGTAAAGTGCTAAAAGAGACCACTAAGAAAAAAGGCCTGTCCAACTCTACCTAACAGGAGACAGGGAAGATATTATTAAAAGGGTAAAAGAACTACCAAAGAAAATTCTCTTGGCAGAAAAGTTAAAAGAAAAAAGTCATAACCGGGAAGAGAAGAGGAACTGCAAATGCATAAGGAAAGTCTAGGAACAGCAAAAAAGATCTGCATAGTGCGAGCAGCGGTGAGGACAGGGAGCTACGTGTGTCATCAGTGCTAGGCCCCCAGCACACAGCACGTGCTCCACGAACACTTGGAGGGTGGCTGGCGGCGACCCAGCATGAGTGTCAACACGTCAGTCGGAGAAGAGGCTGGCAGAAGTACACTAGGTCCAGATTAGAAATGATCTTAAAAAAAAACATGGAAAGTGGGAATATAATTTGAAAGGCACTTTTTATAAAGTAATTTGTTAGTATCTATTGATGTTTTCAATGTACATTCATTTTGACCCAGATATTCCACTTTTTGGTATCTACATGCTTTTCAGTGTGCACAGAGACAGGCTCAAGGATAGTCATTTCAGGCTTCTCTGTAACAGTGAAATATAAATACCACAAATGTCCATTCGAGAACGAATGGTTAAACAATCTATAATACACACCTAATGTATTCGTACTATGCAGCATTTAAAAGAAAAATCTAAATGAACTACATAGAAAAATTTCTAGAACATAATGTTGAGTGTAAAAAAAAAAAATCGCAGAACCACAAGAGCAAACAAAAGGTTGTTAATCAGGAGAGTACTTTTTTTTTTTTTTTTTTTTTTTTTTAAAAGATAACTTGATGGGAGATGATGGAGAAGACAGAGGTCAGAAACACAAATCCCAGTTAAGAGGACTGCTGAAACAGTTCAGGGGGAAAACAAACTAGGTTTGACCTTAAGCAGTATGACACTGGGGCTGAAAAGCAGCACAGATTAAAAACCCCTTTTGGAGATGGCACAAACAGGGTTTGCTAACTTCACAGATACAGGAAGTATGGAGTGGGAAGCATACACGTAATTCCAAATGTTCAAGTTTAAGTCTGAGAGAGCAGGTGAGTGGTGTCAGCACTAAGCCCAGCAGACTAGAAGAGAAAGGGAAACTGAAGAAGGTAAAGGAGATTTTGCAATAAAGATAATGATACTGGTTTGAGTTATGTTCCTGTTGGATATCTACCTGCAGTGTTCTAGTAAGAGCATGAAAGCCAAGGAGGACAGGTACTCAACAAATATTTACTGAAAACATTTCTATCCTTAGCAATTAGGCTGCAGTGTAAGGTCATTAACATCGGGCAAGTGCTAGGTTCCCTAGAGGGCTAGCCATGGAAACTCAGCTGATCTGCAACCCCCCTCATAGTTCTTGGCCACTCCCCAGAGTCCACTGTTGCTATCAACAGCCTCAATCCTGCCCAGTGGTGACAGTGTCGGTCAGGACCTGGGGAAGACCAGAAGAGCCTACCCATCATCAGAGGTGTGTCCTTATTTCCATCATTATGAAGAAATCTTCTAGTGTTAAGGCTAGGACCAAACCAAATGGTTAAATAGTATATATGGGGTATCTGTTTGGCTCGGTCAGCAGAGCATGCGACTCTGATCTCAGGGTCATGAGTTCAAACCCCACACTGGGCATGGAGACTACCTTAAATAATAATAAATACATGAAATGAATAATGTATACAAATGGAATGACAGAAGAAATAATCATGCAGATCAGCTTTTCCTCCGGCGATCCTAGTTCCTAATTTACCCAGAAAATAGAGCTTACCTAGGTCAAAAGGTGCCTGTAGATATTAATTTTTCACAGCACATAACAAAAAGTAATATAACTAGTATCAGGGAGAGAGCAAAGAATCAGCAAATGTAATCTGTTAAGTTTCACAAAGCCTATTAAGATATGAACGCATTCCTTTCTAACATTTATAAAATTACATTCAGTGAGAACGTATTTTCTTGGTAATTGCTGTAAGAGGATAATGGGAGTCCTTAAATTCCAAGTCCTTAAATATATCTCCTTAGGAAGAGATCTGTTTCTATATTCTCCTCCAAAGACAGAATGCTGCTGGCCTTGGAAAGGTCCTAGTAAGCTGACTGAGTAGACAACTAGATGGTCACAGAAATCACGTCCTGGCCTCAGCCCAAGGTCCTTCTGGTTACCACAAACAACCTAGGTTCCATCCCCAGTGAATAAACACCCCCTGGCACTAAGAGCTCATGGCTTTATAGGGCTCTGGGGCTAATGCACACCATCTCCTTGGAAAAAAGGATGAGGCAGCTCCTTAGGGCCTTGCATGTGGCACAAGCCCCAGGTCGGGGCCTGATGCAACACGGCAGCCCTAGAGAAGCATACAATCCCAACGCTGAAGGGAACCCTAGAGATCAAGGCCACGTTTGCAGTACACAAACAGAGGCCCCGCGGTGAGACAGCCATGCTAAGCCTAGCCACAGAAGCTGTGTCCAAGCCCGGGCCTCCGGCTCAGGGATCGGGGTTCTTTCCACCCTTCTTCATTCAAAGTGTCCATAAGCAGAGGGTCACTTAACACATTACCATCCAGTGCCATCCCAAGAGCTTCCTTCTCACAAGTTATGTTTTTGGCAGAACCTACCCTGGATATATGTACAGTTCAGAAAAACTAAAACTGCAGAAGTAGGTCATGACTACAGATATAAACACACTTAGAAATAGCACAAGAACATAATATCATTACAACTACTACTTCCCACCATGTCTTCCCTACAGAAATACATTTTTGGGGGTCAATATACATCTGCATGTGTGTTAATAGTCAATATTTGGGCTTTTATTTCAACCTAATCCACACATTGTCTCTGGAAACACAAGAACCACAAGTGGACATCTGTGAAGGCCACTGGCTTGTCGTGCCCTCCAGGTAAGTATTTCACCAATATGTGCCTCCGCCCTTCACCTAGAGGAAGGGACACAGGGTAACAGTCACACAAGAAAGAAATTGTGTTTGTGTAGATGTGCATCTGTGTGTGTGGGGGGGGGGTACATGTGGGCATGTACCTCCAACCCTGAACAGAGCAGTTTTGGTAAAATTTCTACAAGGAAAGCATTCCTTCCTTTGCAGTTTGTTATCAGATTGGGAATGTATTCCCCTGGAGAAAACCAAAATAAAACACTTTGCTCACTAGCATATTTAAAATGACGACAAAGAGTACCGTAAATCTTTTTTAAAATACAATATTAAAATAGAAAGATAAACCTCAGTAATATAGATTCAAAAGAGTAACTACTTTAAGGAGCTACTG